CCAAGTCAAATCTACAGTGTAAAAATGAATAGTAATAACTTACACATTTCATTAGACCCTAATACATGATTAAATGAGGGAAAAAACCTCATAGCGTATCATTGTATATCTATGTTTTTTTAATGACACCTTAAGGTAGAGATGTGGCAGACAAAACGTTTTCTGGCTTGAAGTGCCCTTTTATTTATTTTTTTCCCACTAGTCATAAGTAATGCATTATGCCTGCTAAAGCAGGAAACTCAGGGCCAGATTTGGCTATTGAACGTATTATGTACTAGCTAAATTATTTAATTAATTCATCCATTCAATAAATATCTGAATAATAAAGAACATACTGTGAGCAAGGCCCTGTTGCTGGCATTCAGACTACAGCTGTAAAAAAACAACACAAAACAAAACAAAACAAAACAAAAAACAGAAAAGCTTAGGCCACACTATGACTGTTGTATTTGTGAGTCCTTGTCTCCAAATAATACATATTAAAATTGTGTTTTATAACTGCATTCTTATAAAGATGAATATAATAATAATATGAAAACTTTTTTCTACCTGAAGATCCATTTTTTCTCCTGATTTTAAGGGAAATTAAACATATTAATAGGCCACTATAAGTATCATGAGCCCTAGTACTGTGCCTACTAGCCTGATCGAGAAGTCAGTTCAGCAAAACTCCTCCTTCATGGAGCTTACAGTCAAGATCAGGAGACAGGAAACAAATTTGATAATAGGAGACACTGAACATACATGAGATAGCAATAAATTACAAAGAAACATTAAAATAGGAAATATCAGATGTGGGGTATGTAGTTTTAATTAGGATGGCCAGAAAAATCTTCTCAGTGAGAAGATGACATATGTTTAAGGCCTGAATTTTACTCAAGTAATTGTTTTTACTTTCTCAATTTTATTATAATCCTAAGGGTTAAAATTCTTTACTGACTTTTAAAACATTTCTGTTGAAATGATACAGATACACAAAAATGAAGGGTACACATAGACATGAGCAAAAAACAGAGTTCTTGGCTGTTCTAATTTCTACAGCATTTATATTCTTGTGCCAACACTTACAGAAATGAATTAGAGAACAGAAGAAAACCTATCAAACAATATATCACAAATGGGAAAGATTTCAAATATAACCTCAGTGTTAGTTCCTCTAATTCATCTGTGGAGGATTTCCAACAGAGAATAAAAGGGAAAATTCATTTGCCCTAAATTTGTATCTGAACATCGTTTTCCTCTCTTAGAGGATAGAGAGATACATTGTTCAGAAAGTTAGTCACTACTTTCCCATCTTCTGATCTACTAGTAACTGATCTCACAAGCAGACTGAGTATAGCAGCACATTTGTAAAACATCCTGTCAACTGTACAGGCACAAACTTAACACTTGGGGGATCTTTAAATGATCCTCTCAACACTAGTTAACCGCAAGATGCACAGTCCAAAATATAGGCAGTGGGTACACTTTCAAGGCCAATCTCCTACTCCTGTTTTAGAAGGCAATTTCTGTTACTTTGGTTAAGAAATATCTAACTTGAGGGGTGCCTGGATGCCTGGGTGGCTGAGTCGGTTAAGTGTCTGCCTTCAGCTCAGGTAATGATCCCGGGGTTCTGGGATCGAGCACCGCATGGGGCTCTCTGCTCAGCGGGGAGCCTGCTTCCTCCTCTCTCTCTCTGCCTGCCTCTCTGCTTACTTGTAATCTCTGTCAAATAAATAAATAAAATCTTTAAAAAAATGAAATCGCTAACTTCAGAGATGAATATCTTGACTCAAACATGTACTAAAAGTATTCCTATGGTCCACATCTGATGTGGCTCTCTGAAAAATCAACAGCAAAGGATTTGTTTTCTTGAGCAAGTCAGCAATCTCTTTCCCAGGAAAATGAAGCTGTTAGCTCTCGAAGACACACAGACACACAAATGCACAAATTCTTCTTAGTCATCCTTTGGTAAGCAATTCACAGGTAGCCCCTTAGAATAGCTAAGTTGAAGCAAAGGCATTTAACCACTTGTGTTTTTCTAACAGACTTGCCCCTCCAGCCCCTTCCCCCCATCGGGACCCCACACCCCAATTAAAAGTGAGTTTTAGGCTTCTTATCGGGAAAGTCACCATCTCAGCCTTGGGTCTGGCATTTAGCATGATTCCATAGAGTCTGCATCACAGCCAGTTCCATAGTGATGATTTTAAAGAGCAGCCTGTTTCCTCAGCAAACTTTTGCGGTTGACCAAGAGGTATGCTATTGTTCACAAAACACACTCGCTTTATATGGTTCTTTGAACTAAAAAAAAAAAAAAAAAAAATTCTTTCTGTCTTCTAAAAATTCTCCTTGTTTCTCTTTTTCATGATGATTCTTTGCAGGGACACTAATTCCTTAAAGCCTCCTTAGTCAAGTATGGCTGAAAGATACATACAGAAGTGACTGAGAAAATTACAGAGAAGTTCTGTGCAAGCTCCCAGGACTGGGAACAACACTGCAGCACGGATTTTGTTGTGACTCTCAGGTAAGAATGTGCTCTTTATACAGGGACCTCTCCTTCCATCTCCCCAGCTTGTCCCGGCTAATACCTTATTGAGGCGTTTTATTTCGCACTCATAATGTTCCTTCTTCTTGTTCACAAGAGCATTTTTTTCCTTCAAGAACTTATTTTCTTTCTTCAATTCGTGTAATTCTTTGTGTAGGCTCTCCTTTTCCTTCTGAAGTAAACAGAAAGAAAAAAAAATCGAAATCAATAAAATTCAGAGGAGATAATATTGTAGGAATACTTCTGAAATACAACAAAAACAGGACCTGCTAGATTTTCATTTAATTGATCCATTTAAGCAATATTCTTTGGGTGGAGGACAGGGTTCGGATTGAGAAAATCTTTCTTTATTACTCAGTGCTATTAAATTTTAATGATGCCGAAAAAGCTCAAAATGCCCAATCCTCACTTTCAAGGGTCAAATGGGTCCACAGAATAAGCTAGTTCCCATGTACTATTACAAAGTGATAGTTAAGTGACTTAGTGAAAGTAATTAAACTCCAAAAAAGAAAAAAAAATCATTGCAACAAAAATACAAAATATCTCAAAACCCAATCCTGCCTGCATCATTCTGAAGAGGGGGAGAAGAGGATACAACTTCAGGCAAATAAGAGCCTTCACTACAGATAATTATTCAGAGCACTGTATTATTGTGATTATTACTTTTAAAAGGTTGAGATAAAAAAAAAAGACAAAAAATGGTAGAGATCAATTAGTCCAACTGCCATCACTCCTCCATGTTCCAGATAACCTTCAAGATGTCCTGTGGTTTAAATAACTGAAGCAAGGTTTGTTGCTTTGACACTAGCCGGCTCTGGATTCAGACATCTGTCTTCTAATTCTTATTTTGTATTTTAGATAGTAAACTTTTTCTGGAGTGAATTAGATTCTTAATGGCATTCAGATTTTAACCTAATAAAATAAATATTTCAGAATTTAGGTAAATCAAGACGAGAAGATAGCTAATGCATAGGTTAAAGTATGCTCTTTTAGTGATTAATATCTCCCAATATAATAATGAGATTTAAGATATCTACTTTAGGTTATTCTTTTTGTTTGTTTGTTTTTGTTTTTTAGTGAAAACCTTTCCATTTGCTTTAATTAGAATGAGCTCATATACGCTTAGAAAATGAATCAATCATTTTCTAACTTGGCATAATTTAGAAGAAAAGGACTTCACTAGAATATGTTTCCAACTGCCTGAAGGAACAATTGCCATGATTCCCGGTTGGTCAGGGTCTAAATGGATAAGGAAGGTACTTCTCCAGGACCAGAAGGAGTTGCTAAACCTTGTTTTCTTCTCACTGAGACAGAGACACCCTTCCCAAAATAGGAAACCTACACCGAGGACTGTCTGCACTGATTTTAGGCACGGCGTTAAGATTGGTGCATTTGTTAAAATACAGCCAATGCCTCACAGTATCAGTCACAAGACTTCACCTTAGAATATTTACAGTTCTTGTTTTTTGTTAACATACATTAAAAAATAAGAGTCAATTAGAACTTAAGGTTTTTCTCCCATTTTCTACAATATCCACTAGCCTCAAAACCAAGAGTATTTTAGGAGAAGCCTTTCGCCTTCATGACCACCGCCTTGCACTCTGCAGGAATTAATGGAGAATTAGAATCTGGAGACGGGGTTCAACTCCCATTTTCCCAAGTACTGGGCTGGCAAGGTTGGCAAGTCACGCATCCTCTTCACATCTCAGCTTTTTTGTCTTTAAAATGCAAAAATAGTATTTTCCTCAGGGATGAGAAGAGCTTGTTAAATGAGATAATGAAGGTGAGGCCCCTTTTTAAAACGTCCTAATTTTATGATGATAAAAGCCATGCTGATTTGTAAAACTCTCTAAGTTGAAAAGCAGCTGTACAAATACAAGGTACTGTCCTATTATTATTATTAACACTAATAATAAAATAATATATGTGAGTAAAATCGGAAGAGCAAAATTCATCTTCTAGGCTGAAATGCGCTAGAAAGACAGCTCCAAATCTCACATCAGTTCTCTCTGCCGGTAGATCCGTTCTCTACCGACACAGGACCGCAAGCCCATTTGGTCAACAAAGGAGGAAGCGAGCGGGGTATGTTCCTGGTTCGGATTGCGGAGAACTGTCCCGCTCTGCGCCTCTGGGGACTCGCACAAGCCCTCCGCCCTCGCACACAGGTGTGGGGTCCGGCTACTCCCTGCCGCGGCGCGGGGGAGGTCCGCTCCTCGAGCCCCGCCCACCTCCTGGCGCTGCAGCAGCTCGCGGTTCAGCTCGCGCAGCCTGTCGCTCTCTCTCTGACTCTGTTGCCGCTCCTCCTCCTGCACGCTGAGAAATCTCTCTGCGGCGTCTAGTTTCGTTTTCAGCTCCGCGACCTGAGGAAGTCGTTCACAGAGCGTTGCAGAAACCGCTTCTGAAACTCACACCCTCCTCCCCCCACCCGGATTTATTCCCACCAAGTGCACTTGGGGACAGACACGCCCCACTCCTGGGCGGGCCCCTAAGGGGAGAGGCTCTACTTCCCCTCCCCGCCAACCCCACCCCTTCGCAGAGATCAGGACAAGTGCATCTAAAAAAGGGCTTCCTCTCCGGGGGAAAAACAAACCCCTGAAACAGACTTCAGCCCCTTCCCTCTTTTCTCCAAACCACACCACTTCCGAGGGAATAAAGATTTGGACCTTAGACGGGGTGAGGGGACACTTCTGGGCTTGTCATTCTATTCCTAACTCTCAAAATGGGCCCTTTCCTGACTTGAAAAGGGCGGCATGGAGGGATAGGGGGTAAGTGAATATGTCTACACCAGAGAAAAACAATGGCTTTTAACTCGTCAGTAATGTGCAATGTTGGACCCCCTACAAAAGGCCGAATCAGCCCTCAGAGTGACGCCGGTCCAGTTGAGAAGCTTTAGGAAAGGGTGCTTCATCAAAGATGCCCGTTGTTAACCCCCGGTCTTCATAAACCTGCGAGCCATTCTTCCTGAGCAGCTTAAACATTTTCTCTGGGATCGTGTTCTTTAAAATCTGGGGACACAAAAGCTGTCCCAGACTGACTATAATAAGGTGACCTGACCATGGCCTCATGTCGTGGAACATAATCGTGCACTAACTAAATTTAATACTTATGCCTATCAAAATGGAAAAGAGCAATACTGCTATGTTACTCATTATGGTCCGGTTTCTTAATTCTGAATTATTCAGGGGAATTTACTTTCTCCCTTTCCCTCTTTTTGAACGTGAAATAATTTAAAATGATAAGTTGATCCCTCCAAAGATTTCTCACCAAAACTAAAGATGCTTTGACAGAGAACATACTTTAGGGGGGAAAGGGAATGCACCACTTCCCCTCACACTTGCACTGTTACCGTTGTTTATTTCTTTATCTGTAGAAAGAGCTTATGCTATCTAATTAAAGAAGTAGAGAACTAGCCTTGCAAAAAACAATATGAACCTTAAACCATCTGTCACTTCACCTATAACATTGTGTGTTCCTTCCTGCTAGGATATTCTGCGAGCTATAAGTGTGTGCATTAGAACTCTAGAGACACCTCGAGAGGCTATTTTTAGTACTTTGTTTTTTGTATTGCCATGGCAAGAGAATTCACTGATATCCTTCATTAATCTTCAGTACCAAGAGGCCAATAATACACTCACTACCCCCCCCCTGCCCCCATCATTTTTCAACAGTTGGCTGGTCACAAATCTCCTTCAGCTGAAATCAGTGAGAATCTTGACAGATTTGGTCCCACTCATTATTGATTTAAACAAATACTAAACAGGGAGGTGTTTACCTTTCTTTCATATAGCTCTTTCATACTTCTAAATTGCTGATCCCATTGCTGGTTGACTTCCAGGAGCTGAAATTATTAAAATTTGGTAAATCAATATGGACTTTTGCCCATTTGGAAATTTGGCCAAAATGAAATCACTTTTTGGGGGGTACTAATATCTTGCAAGCCATGGATGAAGGCAGTATTCCTTTCACCAAGTACTGGTAGGGCTGCGATGATTTAAATGAGCACACTTTTCCTGTTTTCACGAGTGGCTCATGTATGAAAAACTATTAAGTCTTCTGTATATCTTGACTTGTCAGCTGAACCACTTATTAGCAACTTTCCACTTTGCTTAGTTATTTGAATTTTCATCTTTGTTTAGCCCAATCAAAATCCAGGAAAAATATGTGAGTATTGATGGTTTTCTGTAAAACTTATTAATATCTGAAGGGTCTTTTTTCAAACCTTTCCATATTTTTCTATGTGCTTACATTGATTATTACAATGAAATATTCCTTCTAGCTTTTTAAAAGCAGAATTTATGTTAACAAATTCCAATTTATATTAACAGATCACCATGTGCTTGCAATACTGTGCTTTTTAAAATCAACCCATGATTTGTAAAATATACTCAGTGAATGGATAATATCACCTTTTTCAAAGTACAGATTTTCAAGGAATAATAGTTTTACCATAAGACAATATTTAGAAATAATTTAGGCTGCAATTTGGAAGCTTTAAAATTATATGCTAGATAAAAGGAAGAAAAAACACTATGACCTGTGTTTTAGTTTTCTTGTAAGGGAAGTCTGTAACTTCCTACATTAAGAGAAATCCAACACTGTCAATATGGGACCGAGATCAAGAGGATAGTCACAATGACTGAAAAGAAGCAAGATAGTCTCCTAATTATAAAACAAAATACCTAATCCTGACAGGCAATCACTAGGTAAATCTTATGATGGAAATAGATATGGGTATTTAGTATGGACTATATAATATTACTCTATAAGGATATCTGATCTGTTGGCATTTTAAGGATTAACATTTCTATGCTATGAGAACATTACTCTGCTATCGTTCAGTAATTTTCCAGAAGGGTTCAATATTTTATGTAGTATCAACAAGGAGTAGAGGGAACCACAGAGAAGACATGAAGCATATAACATGTATAATTGTTTAGAAAAGTAATTTAAAAATTGACAACATACACAGGGCTAAAATTATACTTTTCACTTCTCCATCTGTCAAGAAGAATGAAGAGTTTCTTACATTCATTAAACTTTGAAAAACAGAACTCAAAATAACATCCATTACATCCCTAATGGCATTTTAGAAAGAAACATTTTTTTTTATGATATTGCTCCTTAACCCCTATGTGGTTGGATGTCCAGCTTATAAAGCCATAGAACCTAAGTCAATTACACTTAAAACCTGTGACAGTTTGAGTCTCAAGGTGTGTCAGGTTGCAAGGCATAATGGCATAATTGATAAGCTCACATAGTCCATGTGGATGAAACATCTAAGTTTTGAGAAAATTAAGATTATAATTATGGGATTTATGACTGTCATTTTTCACTCTTCTACACAAAAACTGAGAAACTGAGTAAGAGAAATAAAAGTGAATAAGAAAAAAGCACTCACTCTCAAAATAACACTTTTCAATATCCTAAAACTAAATACTGTGACTCAATAACAAAAATAAAAGACTCTAGATATACATTCTATTTTATTCTTAGCATTAAATCATGTTACATGTTGCTTCAACTAATATTCTAAATTACCTCTTTTCTCTGTTTTTCCAAACACCTTATCTTTTGTTCAAGAGAATTTGTCAAGTTCTTTCTGCTTGATGATTGATCATACTAAAAAAAAAAAGAAAAAGAAAAAAGAGTGAAACAAAATAGTCTACAACATAAGTTGGGGAAATGTTATCCTTCACAAACTCCATGCATTTGCCTAGCTCTCCTGTGGTGATTCATAAAAATATCTTATTCTAGGGGTACCAACCCTCACACCATAGTCCATCATAGAGACCTGTTTATATTATGTTTCAGGTTCCTTTATATGAAGTAATTGACAAAATAATTCTCTAATAAATTACAAATGTATCTATACAATAGGGAAATAAGAAATTAGGATTTCATGAGTTTTGATTTCAACCCCTTTCCAAACAAAAATAATAATAATTCTTATAGAAATCAGGTAGGTCTCATGGACACATTTTGGATATTTATATTAAGTACATATGCTGCCGAAGTGAGCACTGGATATTTATATTAAGTAATAAATATTTCTAAAAAGTCATTTCTGTAGATGTGTCCGTATCTGAAGAGTAACCCTGGCAAAAGTCAGAGGAATAATAGAATCATCAAGAAAAAAAGACCAATGCATATAACTAAAAGGCAGCAAACCGATTCTGAGACTATAATAAATTAGCTACCTCAGTGTCCATAATACAATTATGTTATAGAGAGGTTGGCATAGATTATCTGATATTTTGCAATTTTCACCAGCCTTTTGAATAAAGCCAATAGGTTATAAGTTGAGATAGATAATAAATCATTGGCACAGCAAAAAAGTTAACCACCTTTCTTTTCAGCTCTCCCCCACCAGCCCAGCATTGGGGGTATTTATTTAAAGAAAGAACAAAAGCTCTGGAAACTGTGGGCCATCTGTCTAAATGGACCACCAACAAAGTTCACTTAAGTGCTGTCTTCTCTATACTAACTCAATAGTCTTGTTACCATCTCATCTCCAAATCATATAAACAATACAATGAATCTGGTGATGAGGATAGTCCAAAGTCTGCTATTCAGTTTTAGGCTCAGTAGTTTTGGAAATTGATTACAGATATTCATGAACAATTAAATATTTTCAACATATGTCAGCCTTTGCCAAAAATATTTATAGGAAGTGTTCTTTTACAATCATCATGGGATTTCCAGGATTTTTTTCATTAGAAATGATTTATAAAACATTTTTCTATCTTTTCTCTACTTACCTGTTTCTTACTCGATGTTTTAGGGCTAGATGATACTTTATATTTCTATAGACACTGTTCTTAGTTTTCTTAGCTTCTTCTTATTCAGACCCATAAACAATTAGGGCCACATTTAAAAAGAGATATTCTTCTGGGGGTCAATAAGTTTAGAATTATTATGCTTGCGTCTGACCTCAAGAAGCTGATTTGGCTGAGTTCCAAAAGGAACATCAAAATCCAGGTGACAACACATTGGTCTTATAACGGCTTTCCCTTTTTTAGGAAGTCTAGACTCTTTCTGCCTCAGAACAGACTATTAGGTGCATTTGATTTGGAAAGTGCTGTGAGTAAACTGTATTTAGGGTATCCTGAACTCAGCAAAGCAGAGATTCAGTGAGACCAGATTCCAAACCAGTGGTTCTTAGTACAAGAACACATAAAAGTCACTGTTGGGAGCTTGCTAAACATAGGGCATCATGAACGCTGAAACAGAATTTCTGAAAAGGGAGTATAGCACCTCCATTTTCTTCTTAATAAACTATTTTTTAGAGAATTTTCAGGTTTACAGCAAAATCTAGTGGAAGGTACAGAGATTTCCCATATGCCTGCTGCTCCCATACCTATGCACACGTTATCAACAACTCCCACCAGAGCAGTGTTTTTCTTACAATTGACAAACCTCTACTGACACATCACCAAAATTCATATTTACATCAGGGTTCATTCTTGGTGTTGCCCATTCTATCAGTGTGAACAAATGTGTAATGATGTTACAGTATCATACAGAATAGTTTCACTGCCCTAAAAATCCTCTGTGCTCAGCCTACTTATCCCATTTCTATTTTTAATAAATTTCGGAGGTTATAATGATTCATACTAAAGTTCAAGTTTCTCCTGTTCCAGACCATGCCTGGAGGCATAGATTTGGGGTCCTCAAAAGGTCTCTCTATTTGTGATATAGACAAAAAAACAAACTTCTGCCACCAGCAAACATTTGTATGACCCAGGCTTCTGGGAATCCAGATTAAAAGTAATTATATAGTGTGTATTTTTTTTTGTCATATATATTTTCTCTGCAAAGAAATTATAAAACATTTGGACTTTAGTTTTTATTTTATAAATAAGAGTTACTGAAAAACTAGATCCTAAATCTGTAAGAGAGAGAGAGAGAGAAAGCACAGTAATAAGAATTTCTTACAAGCCATAAATATATCACCAGGGGTTTCTCTGGAGGTTAATCAACTTGTTACCATGGTTCATATGTCTCAGGTATATATTAAAACAAAGCAAAGTCAATCAAACACAAAATTTTGGGAGAAATTTCCATTTGTATTTGCTTTGCTTTCTAGTTACTTATGAAGGTATCTGATGTTTCAATAAATACAAAGATTTTTTTTTTTTAAATATTGTATTTATTTATCTGACAGAGAGACACAGCGAGAGAGGGAACACAAGCAGGGGGAGTGAGAGAGGGAGAAGCAGGCTTCCCACCAAGCCGGGAGCCTGATGCGGGGCTCGATCCCAGAATCCCGGATCCTGACCTGAGCCGAAGGCAGACGCTTAACGACTGAGCCACCCAGGTGCCCCATCAATAAATACAAAGATTTTTAGTCATTGGTTCTACTAAGGGCCCACTTACAGAACAATTATTCCTTGTATAGTGTAATCTGTGCTTAAAGTATCTGGGCATTTCTCTCTCATTTATCATAACACCCAAAATAGCATCTAAGATACTCAAATTCTGACACTGCAAAATTAAGTATCTAAATACCTAAATCACTTGGTTTGATTCTACACTAGTAGTAAAGTTCTAAAGGTCTAAAAGTTCTAAAAAACTAGTTCTAAAAAGTTCTAAAGAACTAAAAAGAACCAAAGTTCTAAAAAGTTCTAAAAAGAACTTTAAGAAAGCACTTTCACTCATTCATTCATGCAGTAAGTTTCTGTTGCAGTAACCAGCAACCCAACAAAATTATGGTATTAATTGTACATACATACTCTTTTATTTCCAACTACACGAATATTGTTTTTTTAAATTTTACATTGAACCAAATTTCTCTAAAGCAAGGGCAAAATATGGAGCCCACAGGAGCCCACTGAAAGGACTTTGTAAACCAGTACAAGAAGAAATGTAGCTCAGAGGGACCAAAGGAAATGCTAGGGTCACCCAGACACTTTTCCTTTATTAAACAACATTGATTAAAAATATGTAGCAGATAGTACCTAAAGAAAACAAACTAGTCATTTCTACTCTTATTCATCATGGGCTAATGAACCATAGGAAATGCAGTTGATGCTAGAGATGGACAACTCATCCCCTAGAAATGTGTTCTTACCTCTGCATGCTCCATAGAACCTTCTGCAGCACTCATTCTAGTTGTTCCCTGTGCAAGATGTGCCGTGGAAGCTGTTTTTCCTGGGGTCTTGGAAGACAGAGAGATAAAGAGAAAGAAAATGTTTCCTGCGGTATTTTTTAAAGTGAGATCAAATATGTACAATTTTAAAAAGATCACACAGTTAACTCATGACAGAAAATAACAGCCACAGTTTTCATTAAAAATGAAGAGAAGTGAGTCCGTATACGATTTACACAGAATAAGGTCGTCGGCACAGCATCTGTGATTTTAACTTTTCTTCTCTTCCAGATAGGGATTTCCCAGGATGTCTCAAGGAGGCAGGCTGTGACTAAGACAGGCCTATTAGCCTTGCCTATGGTAAGTAAATTGTCATTCTTCCTTTACCGGCAGTTTCTCCCACTGGAGGAGGAAGTTACCACAGAAAGCCTGGGCAAACCAAGTCTTGCCTCAGTAGCCAAACTTCTATAACTTCGTTGTATTTCCCAGAGAATTAGGTAACTGTTGACTTTTTGACAACTCGGTTAATTGCTTCCCTTAAGGCCAGATTTTCTGGCAATGCCTTCTAACTGTGCGCTGAGCCATGTTGAACTTAATGAGTCATTCACAATTCTGTAAGTGCTACTAATTCCTATGGAACTAAAAGAGAAAATCCATTAAAACAAAACCTGGCTATTGTTTGCAAAGCTTATCTTTTATATTGGCAGAAAGCTTAAACTCAGTTCTCAAGTTTAAGACTGTCTTTTCCATAGATCAAGTCCAGATTTTCTCCATGATTCATTTGCAGTTCAATGTTTTATTTTGTTTTTGTTGTTGTTGTCATTTTATCACTAATATTTTAGTGTTAACTAGTTGACGCATCCTTTTACCGGACATTGAGGTAATGGAATACTGGGTCATGGAGATAAAGGCGTGAAAAGATGGATGCTTGGAGCTACACAAATGTGTCATGGTAGAGCAGAAGACCTCATTCTGGGCTTGGAGGAGAGGGAGCAAAAAAACAGCCAAGAATATAGAAAGCAAAAGAAAGAATTTATAGTCAATCACTTAATTTACATTTTCCTTTACACCTTCCTAAGAGATGGCCTCTTATATGTGGGGTAAATCCTAAAACTCCTGAAATTCAAACTCTTTAAAAGAGAATAGTGGGTGCCCCAAATTTGCTTGTCCTTTTTCTCTTTCATATCTTCCATCACTTCCCAGCTCTTCCTGTGCTCCAGCCATCCTGAATCCCCTTCATTTCCTGAAATAAGCCATATATCTAATACATGTTGCTTTCTCTACCCAGAACATTCCCTCCTCTGGGCCCACTCCAACTAATTGACCTGAAAAACCTGGCTAATGCTTCTCTTGCCCATGACCTTATTTGACCTACTTTTACCAACCAAGCAGAGCCCTTACTTGGTATTTAAAAAATGGTTTATTTGCATGGTTGCATGGTTGCTTCTGTGCCTACAGCACCGTGACACACAGCATGTGTCCAACGCATTCTGCTGAATGAATAAATTGATGTATATCTACATGCCAAATTTATAGATTTTTTGCTGTCTATATGTATATGTACATGGTTTTGTTTTCTCCTGGTTTCTTGGTCTGTCCTAGGGGTGCACTCTAGTGAAACAGAGTGATGTTTCCTTAAGGCAACATCCAAAAATGCAGGTGGGAATCAAATTGTTCAGATTTCACATATGATCTGATTTTAGGGGATATAAGCAGAGATTCCCTGGAGACTGACACTTCATTAACACTAAAACCTGCTCATCAAAAATGAGGAAAACAAACTATAATGTGAAAATATTTTTTCCCAATCCTCCTCCCCTACAATAGTTACACGTACATTGTTCAAGGTTCACTTCAGCCTCATCTGTGTACTTGGTCATAATAAACCCAGTGGATATGGTAACATTAACCTAGAGGGGTGGTTGGAAAAAACATTTCTTGCCAGAAAGTACCGTCCTTGGCCTTGGTGACTTTTGGGTCTCCTTTATATAGTTCTCCCAATGCACACTCATCGTTACAGCACAACATGGCATGATGGCTCTATGGAGTGGAAATCCTCTACCTTTGCATTTTTCATCACAATCCCTTTGCCTCTTCTGCTATGCAGTTTAACAGCAAACGGTTTTCAATTAGCTCCAGAGAACAGTGTGGTAACTTAGGAATTAACAACGGCTCTTCCGGAGAGCCCCCAGTTTGGTTTGAGAAAAAAGGAACTTGCACTAAGCCAGCCTGAGAAATAAGCTAGATATATTCTGTTCCACATGCCCTCCTTACCTCACCTCCAGCCTTCTCACATGCACCATGTCAGAGTCTGGCTTGTAGTCAGGCTTTGTTTCCTGACAAGTCTTACTAGCTGCAATAACCCTCAGAGGAAAAGACATGTCAGTCCATGTTTCCGAGTGGAAGCTGAAGAGTCCTCATTTCTCAAGTGACTAAGATATTACACAGAGGAAAATAATGAACAAAGAGAGACATGGTGAAGAAAAAGGACCAAGGAACTAGCAGTCACAGGTTTGTAACTCTCATGTGAGTTGATGATAATTCTCTCAAAACTATTCTAAGACAGATCATCACATTTCTATAAATGCTTGGAGGCATTCTTTGTCAGGTAAAATAAACATTTTTTTTTTTTTACTATCCTTTTAGAATGAAGGTTGAAACCCTATTTTGCTTCCTGAACCTGTTTGCACAAATTTTTAAGTGAGTGTGCTATCTAGGAAGGACTGAGAGCATCAATGGGGAATGCAAAGGTCTGACTGGAGTCAACTCATTTGGACTCATAACTTGGCTTTACCATTCACCACTTGTGACTTTGGGCATGATCCTTAAGGCCTCTGAGGCTCAACTTCCACTTGTTGCTTTTTTTTTAAATTTTTTCAAAAGATTTTATTTCTTTTTTAGAGAGTGAAAGACAAAGAGACAAAGGGCACAATTAGGTTCCCCACTGAGCAAGGAGCCTGATGTGGGACTCAATCCCAGGACACCAGGATCATGACCTGAGCCAAAGGCAAATGTTTAACAGACTGAGCCATCCAGGCATCCCTCAACTTCCTCATTTGTAAAATGACAATTGTAATAGTGTCCTCCTCCTTGGGGCACAATTGTGTCCTCCTTGCTATCTTTGGTAATACATACAAAAGCTTAGATATTAATAATAATATGATCTTAAAGATAGGGATATCGATCATATTATTTGTGCAACAAATAATATGACAAAAAAGAAGGGCTATCAATCATTTATATTTCACTTGGCTCTGAGTGGATGCCAAAGGGAAATAAGCAAAGGTCCCTGCTTCTAATGAAATTAATGTATACACACATGTGTGTGCGCACACACCTGCCTGTGAGAATTCAGAGGAGAGAGAGCTCATTCTCAGCCTTAATTGTTATGGAAAGAGCTTCAGTTTCTGCTGGGCCTTGAAGGGTGGGTAGGATTTTGGTAGGTGGTGGAAGCTGAGGTACACTGCTGTAATGTGAGCAACATAAACAGAACAGAGGTGGACAGACCCAAGTCTGAAGGATTCTAACAAGCCCAATGTAACCAAAGTAGAGCTCATCTAACGTTGATTTGGATCAAATTGTGAAAGGCTTTACATTTTATAGCCAAAAATTTTGACTTTATTGCATAGGCCATAAGGGGCCACTGAAGACCCTTGAGAAAAGGAATTTTACATGATCAAGGTATCTTTTTCATAAAAAGAAACCTGGATATACACATTATGTACCACATGAGTGAGGTTGACAACTGCAATACCACCTAATAGATATAATGAAAAATAATATTTGAAATATTCAACAATTTAACCATCACTTCGTCTAGGGCACACAGAATGAAGCAGTCTCACTCCAATATTAATCATGCACTTGTCATCTCTATTTGGATGCATCTCTTTCTCCACTGGGTATAAAACCCATTTCCTGGTCTTCCACATAAAACTTGTTTTCCCCATCACATTCAATGGCACCTTTCATGCTCCATGTTACAAATCTTAGAGTTGACATATTTGATTCCTCTTTCCCTCCCAACCTGTATCCAACTTATCATAACATTCTGTAGGCACTTTGAAAGTATACCAGAAAGGAGAGCCCCGCATGGGCCCAAGAGCCTAGAGGCTTCCCAGTTCAACGAGAGAGCAGCAAAGGTGAAGTAAACATACCTTTTAATAACTTTTTCAAAATGGGAACTTTAGTGTTTGTGTCCTGACTTTATTCATGTACACAATTTCAGAGAACGTTCAGTCGTGGCTGAAATCTGTCTCTGTGTCATATCCTGCTTCCACGTTTACTAGTTATGTGAACTTGGACAAGGTGCTTATGCTTAGCAGCTCTGAAGTGATCAAGCCACGCTCATCCCGTAGACGCAATAACCTAAAAGCCTCTGTGCTTCTGTTCTTGTACCTCCCCCCATCTATTATCAATATAGGAGCTATTGTGAATCTTTAAAAATATGTAATTTCATGACACCTCTCTGCACAGAACACTCAGAGTGAAAGTAGAACTCCACAGAGGGGCCCACAAGGCCCTCACCTACTCTTCTCTGACTTCTTTCTCACTGTTCTTCCCTCTGCTTGCTCTGCCCTGTGTCCTGTCCTCACTGCTTCTCTATGAACCTGGCAGGCACATTCCTTGTTCTCCCTGCCAAGAACTACCTTTTCCCTAATATCCACAGGGTTCACCCCCTCACCTTCAATAGGTGATTGCTTAAATGTCCGCTGTTTCTTGAGTTCCTACTTGACCTCCTGATTTAAAGTTGCCCTCCCTCCCAGCACTTTCTATCTATCTATCTTCCCTGCTATATTTTTCCATACCGCTGTGTATAATACAATATAGATTTTTCTTCTTTGTGGCTTCCCACCATTAGAATGTAAACTTCATGATAATAATTTTTGTCTGTTGTGTTCATTCCATGTTTCTCAAATCTAAGATCATGCCAATTATTTTAGTGCCTACTCAAGGACACGTAATGCTCAGACACACATAAAGTCTCCTTGCTACCCAAAATTAAATCAAGAATGTTCCTGAATCAGCTATCTTCAGAAGAGATTATAAAAGATCTAAGGATCAAAACC